GGCTACGGCCACCCCACAGGCTGTGGTCCCCCCATGGGCGTTTACGGCTATGACTACGGCGCCCGCTCGCCCCCGCCGGGCTCCTACTACATCGAGGACGTGCCGCAGCACTTCTACAAGTGGACCTCGCCACCCAGTGTGGTGAGGATCCTGGAGGCCGTGGTCATCCTGCTCTGCATCGCCATCTTTGCCTGCGTGGCCTCCACCCTGGCCTGGGAGTACGGCTACGGCTTCGGGGGGGCTTACGGCAACGGGTTGGGGGGCTTCTATGGCTCTGGCTACTACGGCAGCGGGCTGAACTACGGCTACGGTTACGGGGGCTACTACGGCGGGGTCACCAACCCGCGGGCGGCCAACGGCTTCATGATCGCCGTGGCTGTGCTCTGCTTCCTGGCCCAGCTGGGGCTTTTTGTCGCCAGCGTCAGCAAATCGAGCAGCTCCCGCTCCCGTCGCTTCTACCTGGTGGTCATCGTGGTCTGCGCCGTGCTGGCCTTTGTCATGCTCATCGCCTCCATCGTCTACATCGTGGGGGTCAACCCCCAGGCACAGATGACTGGCAGCTACTACTACAACCCCTTGCTGACCATGTGCAGCCAGATATACAGCAGCAGCACCTACCTGAACCAGTACCTCTACCACTACTGCACCGTGGACCCCCAGGAGGTGAGGGTGCACCCCAGCTCCGGCCAGACCCCCCCTCTTTGAGCCAAACCGGCAGCGCAAAGCCCTTGCTCTGCTTCAAACGAGATGCTGAGCAAGGGCAGCGCGGGAGGGAGAGCGTCGGTGGCCACGTGTCCTGCCCTTGGGACGGGTGTGCAGCTCCGGGTCCCCGGCCAGCCGGGGTTTTCCCCCCTCCGTCTTTAAAGTTTTTGGTGGTACCAGTCGCCGTTTTGCAGCTGCGGAGGGCAGGGGGTGGCTGCTGGTGCCGGATCCCAGCCCGGCTGTTTGCCGGGGCGAGCTGGGGCTGCGGGAGGAACCGGAGCGAGCCAGCTGCCTGCGCCAGGCAGTTTCGGGGAGGGGACGGGCTGTCGTCCTGATACAGACCCGGTATCTGGTACTTTGGTCTCCCCGGTCGTAAAAGTATTTGAACAAGGCTGGGGCAGAGGTGGGCTGTGCTCAGGGCTGGGGTGCCGGTATGGGTGCAGGGCCAGGGTGCCAGCTGGGTGCCAGCTCTCCCCGAGCACCCATGATGCTGCCGGCTCGGTTCAGGAGCCCTGCGGGTCAGTAGGGCAGCGAGAACCTTCAAAACAAAGTCCATCAGGCCCGGTTTCGGCTGGGGCCGGCAGGGATCCTGCGTGGCACATGGGCTGGGACTGGCGCTGCTGGTTCCCATCCGGCCGGGCTGGCCGTGCCACATTCCTGCGCCCTGAGCAGCAGGGGGGGGGGGAGCCGCAGCACCCGCGCTGCTCTCGCTCCATGCAAAGGCTAAGCGTGGCCTAATCTGTCCTCGCCCATCCCCGATTTCAGTGCAGCTGAGGGATCTGGTTTGTGGGAAACCATCCAGGCAGGGATCCGGCTCTGCGGTGCAGGAGCTGGCCCATGGCCCCAGCTGGCAGCAGGGCCGGGGTGCTGCACGGAGATGCCAGAGGGTGCCAGCTCCCTGCTGCTCCCTGAGCCCCAAACTTGTCCTGTCCCCGTGGGAAAATCAATGCCCCCCCCCATTGCTTGAGCTGGCCCCAAAAGCTCTCGAACCCCTGATGGGCTCCATCCTGGCTGCC